GAAGCAACCTGTCTCGGGGTTCGAGTATCCATACTAAGTCATTACATCAGGGAATACCAGAAAGCCACGAGCCAAAGCTAGAGCCAGATATTACCCTCAAACGTGTGTATCCTTCAACCCTTCGATCCCTTTCGAATCCTCCCCAATAACCATCACAGCAACTCCCAAAGCACCCGCCACGTGTTTGCTCCTGGTAATCATATTCACCGCCCAGCCCCATTAATGAATGATCCGTGACAATATGAGTGCACCCCTTTCCTACTACTAGCTACATACCTAACTATGCGGCATTTGTGGATGTGATGCTGCTGCTGTGATGAGGCAGAAAACCTTGGTGCGGGAACAATGAGCATGTTTTTCATGCGAAGTTTCCAGTCGATAGATGCAGTTCCTGTTTCATACGACGTGGTTGGCTTTACCAACAGAGGGAGCAGGAGGGGATGGGAGATGTCTTTGATATGTAGATGCATGCAAGTAAATACTTACTTCCTTAGCTAGCTGAATCATAGATACATGTAGTAGTAGTAGCAGTAGAATATATATATACGCAGAATTACACTCTCGATATACTTACCCCCAACTCTGGGAGCCTGCATTATACGTACGTGACATCTAGTATCCGATCCCTAGCTAACTAGCTTTTCCTCAAAATTGCAAAACATAAACAAAAAAAAAAGCATGTAGTATACTTGTAATACCAGTACAGTACCACCCTTCCCCCCACACCCAGATAGGGAGTACCTACAGTCCGAATATTCCTGTTATTGATATATCTGAAGCTGGATTGCCTATAACCCAACCACCACGCAGCGCAGCAGAGCACAGTGTAGTAGAGCAGTACAGTACTGGACCATCCGTGAAACATTGCCACGCTGCCATGCAGGAAAATGGTAAATTCAAGCGCAAAAATAATATATTGCGACATATGCCATACAACCAGAAAAAGATAAATGCATGACGTGCATGCGCGCTGCGACGGACGGCCGGGCGCCGCGCGCGGTGTAGCTACATGTAGTTGTACTGCTAGGGCGTGAGCAGTGGCTATGTAGCTAGTTAGATTGGTATATACAGTACGAGCCCGAGTTGTCTCTGTCCCGCTGATTATTGATAGATAAATCAGTAGTACTGATGGGTGATCTTATCGATATCTGAGACCTATGGGGATAAGAGGTAGAGAAAATGCTGAGTCACAGGCAATCACTCATAATGCCGTTATCATTATCATCATGATCATGTCCCGGGAACGAAACAATTAATCAAGGTCGAACCAGATCGACTCGTTTCTCCGTATCCAATACCCCACAAATCCATCTTCTATTTGGCTCGCATATATACTAGCATTCTGCACTTTAGCTTTTTTCCCGCTCTCCCACTTCCCTGTGCCCGCCCCGCTCGTTTCATCATCAGATATCTAAAAGCTCCCCCGTACGTGGCCGGAACAACTACCATAAGCATTTCCCCCCCAATCTAACTAATACAAGCCCGCCAAGTCAGTTACTCGCCCATAGGCCCATAATCACGACAAAGTAAACAATAGCCTAGATCTATTAATTAGAGCTAGTACTTAATTAAGCCAGCTCCCTTAGGCGCGCACCAATTAAGCTTCAATTAAGCTAAAAAACCTGGACCCAAAGTATCAGCTGTCAAATCGAAAACCTAGTTAAACTCCCCTCTTGGCTAACTCTCTACAACTGCATAATATGCACAAAGCAAGGGGCGGTAGGTTCGAATTCCCGGCGGGTCGGATCGGTGAAGGAGGAGGATAATGTATGTATGTAAGTATGTATGTATGTACGTATGTATACATAAAGTGTCCAGAAAACTCAGTCTCATGACCTTCCCCATCGCATTTAGTACAGCCACTATTCGAAGGAAAAAGGAGCCGGCATGTATATATATATATAAATCCCCCCTGGGTCGACCCCGCCCATGTGATGGAGTACTACTTCCGGCCGGCTTGGTCTCGGATACAAAAGTATAACGGTTTATGCCCAGAAAAAATCCCTGATATTCGAATCGAAGTTATGAATCTTGTGGGGTTCTATCTTAAATTTTAAACCTGAGATCGAGAGTTCAGCACACAGTACACTAGTACATGAAGGTTTAATTATCCCATCGATCGACTGCAACCCCAACCCTAAAGTTATACTTTTTTTCGCAGGCTTAGAGATTACTTACTCAGATCTTATACTTATAGTATTTCTAATAAAATTGTTCTGATGCCCGGAATTCCCCAGTGTTGTGCTTCGACCACCCCTAATGGACGAATGCCTTCATAAAATATCACTCGGTGTTGTCATCTCTGTGTGCTGATACCCCTAACCCTTCAACCCCAATTTCCAGATTCCTTTTTGTTGCTCATTACCTCCTGATAATTATAATGTAAACAAACGCAAAATTCAGGGGTGCCTCCGCATATATGTGCACTTCGATCATGGGCCAATTGTAGAGATGACCTTGGGACATTTTTAAGATCAAGCATGCGGACTTAATTGCACTGTTATATGAGTTATAAAACCGACCATACGCACATTGACACCCCCTAAATATCAATCCGGCCAATGTATAGAGATAGTGATATGATAGAGAACCACCTCACAGCCCGGAATGACGGGAGCACCCCGACATTTACATAATGGTTCGTGCATGTTAAGTATACATGTAGGTACAATGTCGACTTCATCACCGCGTGCAGTACCTACGCGCGGGCGGGCAGGTCAGTAATACATATCTGGGGCCAATGACCACCCGCCTTTCCGTGATCCTGCGTTGCAGTGGATTGACTTGCCTACACATATGGCGCGAGTGATCTCACATGAACCCGACCCGGCGAGATCCATAACAGCGATATATATTACCATATGATATCACTCGTATCAATGATGCTGACGATCGTATCAATTGCAATCCCGACAACCACAACACCGCCAGCACTATTACCGTCATCATCATGATCATCCACGGCCGCGGTGAACGTACACCCTCCCCACATCTAACAGCCTTGTCCACCATCTCGCGCCACGTTTCCTACCAGCTGTCTGCTGCTCCGAGACCCGCTGGGAAAGCTTACCTACCTACCAGCAGGCTACTTCCAATCGAGCGAGCAAGGCTGCCGGATAGTCAGATAGAAGAGGAGGCGATAGACATTATCCCACCAAACAGGTAAGCCTACGTATGGCGGAACATGAATTCCTGTTTATTAAGAGAAAATAAACCGGGCCCCGTTCCGGCGGTAAACCAGCAGCTCCTGCTCCTCCCAATCGCCTTGTGGGCCGAAATGCACCAGTCGGGGAAGGGAGGGGGCGGGTAAATTTCTGCTATTGGAACTGACCTACCGCACAGTACAGTTTCGCTGCAGGTAAGGCCCAAATAAACTCAGGGTTACGTATTTACTTACCAATTATATATCGTTCTCTCTTCTCTGCCCGAGGCGCGGAATATTTATTTTTAAATTGAAAAAAGAGATTTACACCTGCAGTGGCGTTCCTATAGATACCAAGATGACCCATGTGGGGCGCGGCAAAGGCTCGGAGAGATGTATACCTACGGGCCATACCTTGATATTTGCGCGCGTGCGTTAACATGAAGCCCTTAAGGATCCAAACCCACCCCCTTTTCTGTGTGGTTTAGGATTTCCAGTGAGTTTATTTGCAGGCGAGCTTCCTTTTTCTTCTTTTGTGAGAAGTGCCGGTTGTGTGCGAGTAGATAAGTGCTCCAGCAGCCAAAAAGGAAATACAAGGATCCGGTAGATTGTATGTATGTACTCTTGTATGCTTGTCCAGGGTCACGGTATATATGATCTGCATTTAATTCGGCAGCAACTATCGGCGTACAGTTGTGGAACTCGAGCTCCACTCTATTTTCCTCTCCCTCCCAATAGTGTAGTAGTAAGTTGCGGTAAGTAAAGTGAAGTGTAAACAAGTGTAAGAGTATGTAGGAGAGCATTTCTCTATCAATCAGAGATTCGATATCCTCAACATCAACTCGGCCTTCGAAACATCTTTAGTCGGAAGATGCTGCCGTGCCTGAATTTGAAAAGTCATACGATAATTATTCAGATACCGCAGTGTATCCCGATCATTCGCTAAGGGTATATCGCAGTTTCTTGTATCATACCATCCCAGCTCCAATAGTAATCCTCATGCGCCTCCTCCGGATCTCATCGTTCCTAATAACTAATAGAAAATCGATCATCCTCAAAGCTGATATCTCATCGAACCTCCCCCAAAAATTAAAAATTAAAAATAAAAATAAAACTAAAAAAAGTCCGCTGATTGAGCACATGAACCTTCCCCACCTAAGTGGGAAAGGGGGGGGGGGGGGGCGCTCGATTCTCAATGTAGAGTATCAGTAAACCCCCACGGAACGTTCCGCGCAGGCACCACGGTTAAAAGCTCAAGGTCCTTCCATGGATTCATCGGAAATCTCCAAAAGGGTTTCCCTCAATTTTCCCATGCCAGGCTTCGCAGATCCCCAGTTTAGCAAGCTGCAGCTGCTAGCTGCACGTCTACTGCAAAGCCGTTGGTCCCAACGGAGCATGAGGAAAATACGGTTACCCGAGTAAACAGTCAGTACATACATAGGTACCAGCGGACCGGCAATTATTGCTTGCTAGCCTGAATGTGGCGGGTGGTGATCCTCAAGGATCACTGATCTGTCATGTCCTGGGCGGATCCCGGCCCCGGGTTACCTGGAGAATTATGAGTTTATTGCTCTGAGACTGGGGAAGAAGCTCTTTTATGATAGATGTTGTATTACGGTGCGCGGGTAGATCCTGAAAATGGTCCTCTGCGCCGGCAACTACACAGGTAGACACGAGAAAATCTTCAGCAGAGCACGATACTGTACGTAGAGATAGGGATATTCCATACAGCCTGAACAATATCAGTGGGCAACGGAAAGAAAAAGAAAAGAAAAGAAAAAGAAAAGAAAAATTAGAACTACGAAAATATCGTAACTACCACAGTCAACAGTTATTTTGAAAGGGAATAGAAACGTACTATACTGCGCGAATCAAGGTGCCCCGACCACACATCAGGGCAAAACTGCGTACAGAGTAACATCCCCTTCCCGAAACGTGGAGGAGTCAGAACTCGAACTCCACACTTTAGAGTGCAACTCACAGTCCCAAACCATGGCCGGACGGGTAAGGACATGCTGTCAGATTGATTGCTTAATCGCAAAGTTAATCAAAACAGAGCCGGAACTCTAAATCCCGTCACTTCAACATCGGGAAACACGAGGGTGAAAACACGTACGAAGCATGAATATACCTCCCTCCCTCGGGAAACAAATTTAAAAGCTTATTGCTAATTAGTTAACTTGATCCCAAAACCACAGCGAGAGATTTATTTCCCCAGCGTGGGAAAAAAGGATTGGATGGAGTCACAAATATTTGTACCTACGCCAGTAGATGAGATTGGCGACCGTAAGGTAGCCATTTAAGAGCATTTGGTTAGTACATAGACTAGGTTTCTTACTAGTTCTGAATATCATTACCACACACTGGTACAAATCCCACGACCGACCGAACCATAGTCCATGATCAATGATCAATGATCGACAAGGATTTAACCTATGATCTTGCCACTTGGGATCGAACCCAATGATAACCGCGAAAACTACCGCGAAGAACTAATTGCTCTCACCCACCGGAGCAAGGCAGGCTAGATATCCAACAACTTCCACGTGGTCCAGACCGTGAGCGGCTATCCGACTAAGAAAAAATAAAAAATAAAAATTGCCTCTCTCTTCCACATATAAGTTGTGGTATGTATTATTAGGTGGAAATCTGAGAAAAGTTATGAGTCCCGGAGCGGCATGTAAGGGAGAATAAGCTCTAGAATTTCTCCGCCGCCCTGTTTATAGAGTTATTGTAGTTTCTGTGGGAAGTGTAAATCCCCAGAGCTGCAGAATATCAGTGCACTAATTGCTCTAATTACGCGCCGTGCGCGTCAACCACAATGCGCTCAAAAATCCATATGTGAACCAAGATTTTTAATTAGCAGCCTGCAGTAAATGTGCAGTACTATTGATTCTCGTATCCTTAGACACTTGAGTGCTGATTGAATTCTCACATGAGGCCATAGGCACTATATCGCGCTAATCCTTCTGTTTGAGTGCAACAACTCAAGTAAGTCTAAATTGATATTGGGAATTACTACTTGGGAAGGCTGTCCAAGTCGCACAGGAAATCACAGACCTTTGCCGACTAAGCGCCTTGCTCTTCTATCAGACCTTGCGCGTGTCTCCGAGGCTCTCCAAATTCGTCTACAAACCGGTCATTGACAGTGCAAAATCACATGACTGCGTCAGCCGCAGTGCAAATTTCAAGGTCAGTGCCAATGGCTGTACCTAGGTAGAGTAGAGTACATTTTAGACTTCAGAGTACCTATCCAGGCACTTTTAGATTGGATAATGGTAAGGTATGGTAGAGTATGTACCGCCGTCCTACCTCTCTTCCCACCGACCGACAGAAGACATCCTGCGACGCTCGATGTCTTGCATGAAGCCTTTCTGTCCTGCAAATCGCATCAATCGACGTCCCACGGGTGGTCTTGGCCAACCTAGTCCCTGGTTGGATATGCATGTCTCAGCTAGCTCTGACTTTAGCCCCAAGACGGCAAGGTGCCTACCAAAGAGGTGTTAGGGCTCGCTTAAAGATCTGGCGCGCGGGCTTCGCGGGATCCCTGAACTGTGCGACATGGACAAGGTGGGGTTGGAAGAGCAGGGTCGGGAATGACGGTTAGCCTGGAAATCCACACCCGTGCAGCGGGAACTTCCCCCTTAAGTGGGTCTTATGCCCCGCGTCTTACCCGTAAATGGGATGGTTAGGGCAAGAGGCCCGAATTGCACCTGCCTCCCCCCTCATCTACTCTCTCTGTAACTCGAGGAGGAGCAGGAGAAGAGCTTTTTTTATATCACCATTCATAGGGTAGAATGCATGTACCTGGTCAAGATGCTGTTGCTTTCATGTCGTTTGATGTTTGATGTTGGTGTTTGATTGATTTGACAGGCAGAATTCTCACGGTAACTGCTCTACTCTGGACGGTCCCAACAGTATATGTGCATTTCAAAACTGCCGTACCACAGCAGTATCAAATTGGAAGGGGGAAAAAAGCGTCAAGGATCAAAGTATCCTTTTATACTCTAATGCCTAAAGAGAAATGATTGTGGAACCGGTTCCCGGAAATGCAATCAACGTCGTTGTTGTCAAGAGCGGACGTCGTAACATCTAACATCTGTGCGCCATTCCCGTGTGCACATCGATCTTGTATCGTCGACTACTTGTAGATCAGGTCTCATCTGACCAGGGATTTCTGCATCTCCTGGAAGTGAAATCTGATCTGATAAAAGTGCTTACGGTATGGATAGTGCTATTATTGAAACATTACGGTGGAAACGGAGACTTGCCTTGGATATGTAGAGGCCTCGAGGAAGTTAGCCAGAAAAAGGCTGTAGTCCATCTACTCTACTCATGTACTCTCTCTGAGATAGAGTACATGCCGTCGGTCACTGGCAGAAACAGCGTGGATAATGCATGATGGCATGAACGGGGGAAGCAGAAAGAAAGAAAAGCTTAAAGCTCCAGAAACCGGGAAATGCGCCGAAATGCCGTTGCGTATGTATCATGTATGGATGATTAGCCGTCCGTCCAAAGTCATCTGCTGGCATGCCTACATATATCAATATTACCGGTACATGGAGAGTAGACCTTTCACGTCATGCCAGGGAAGAGCGTGAGAGAAAAAAAAAACCAACACATCGGTAATTCCTGCTTGAGAAAATTCTTCTGACCTTTTTTTTCTGTTCTGGAAAACCACTTGCTCCTGGGTTATACCTGGCACGATAATTGGTTACAGATGCAGCCACTCATGAGGCTCATTCCCGTAGCTTAGCCTCCTGAATTCCAAGTACCGGTGCACACGCAGATGTGTATGCACGCTAGATAACCTCTAGAATATCCCAAAATCCCGACATGCATGGGAGTGAAACTGCGTCAGTGACCCCAACAGCTGCGGAGCTAAAAAGTCTGCGGCACACATGTGAATGATGTGATGATTTAAAAGTGCAGGAGGAAAATCCAAGATCTTTTTTCCCTCTTTAGAATAGAAAAATAAAAATAAAATACGTGGGCTCCAGTCCCTTGCAGTGCTTCGGTTTACCGGCCGATCTTGTACGTCACGTCAAGATAGAACTAGATATACCTAGTCGCTCTTTTAATGGTAAAGTGAGGAATGAGTCTTCAAGATTTTGCGGTATGAAAACTCGAGTCATACCTGGTGACTAGCGGCGATTCCTGAGAGAAACCCCGAGTTCTAGAGCCGGGAAAGGTTGACCGCGAATCCGAAACACTGACCGAGAGATGTCTGGGCGATATGCCCTTATTTATGATACCGAGATACTCATTACCAAATTCTAGAAGGAGCTCCCGTCTTGCCCAGCTTCAACTCTCAGGTCACGGTCCACAACCAACCTATTAACACTGCCACCACATCTAGAGTAATAGTTGAACTGACAAAGCCCTAAAGAACAGAACAAATATCTCGTACCATGTTCCAGCGTACCAAATAAGAAAGAAGATTCTTGTCTTAGAATCTCTCGTTTAGGCATGCGGAGTAAGGTGTGAGGACAAAATGTGGTGGAGATAGACATGAATAACCCCAGGAATAGGAACGGACAAAAACAAATAAACAAATAACGTTACCAGCTGGGCGTTGTTAAATCCTGTCCCATCACTTTTGGGCCTCACAGGCCGAGACCATGTTATTGTACCTACACGAGGATTTATACTGGGGTAGATTGCTGTCATTGATTGAGTGCTTTTGAGCGAAGATTAATGATTGATCTAACAAGCAGCCAACTCGATTTTCTTCCAGATTTTCGTCCTAGTAGCGAGATGCAGTACCTAGGTAATTTTGTTTCCCTCTGATGCGGGGCTCGAGCGGTCAATCTATATCATATGGTTCGATAAAAGAGCACGTAAAGTTAGATATCTGCCCGTTTGCTAACTATGTACTCTAGCAAGGCATGAAAATCATAACGCTCGGATACAGACGTAGCCGAATATGAGACCTCTGGACCGTTGGTTTTAGTGCCGATGTCTGTTCACGCGAGACCTGCCTGGCGGGCACGTACTCTACGGGCTATTTTGATACTTGAGCAGATAATAAGCTTTCAGAAGTAAGGGATCCAGAGAGTCCTGCCAGTAGGTTGTTTAATACCTACCAGTGGTATGTTGTTACGACTTCTGGGTCAGAGAAATATGTCTAAGGGTATTTCTTGGTATTCCCGCTACACCGTTGATAATCCTTTGATGTCCCTGGGCCGATACCTGACCAGAAAGGATCTACCAGAAACGAGTTGAACGTGTTTCCTCCGAACTCTGGAGACCCCGCTCCATGGACTTGCCTTGCGATCATCGCGAGATAAATACTCTAGAGATCTTGCCCGAAAAGATACGTAACCACTTCCCACCGACCAGGCCATATGATGCCTTGGCCCATCACAAATCAATTTTGTTTTCTGTAATAAATGAAATTATCCTATTAATTCAGACTGCGGATATTGAGCGCATCTTGGTGGAAGCGAAGGGAGAGTCAGCGCCTCCTTGTCGCGCCGTCTTTAATCTATTTTATCATGGCGGTAAATAATCTATCGATGTCCGTTTGTTTCATCTTCACCCAGCGCGCAGGGAGACCCCGAAGCGACCTTTAAGTCACAACTTCGGTTACGGGTCTGTTGCCAAGACCATGCGGGGTGGTGTAGGAAATTTCGATTTATCGGAAGCTGGGCAAGAGTGGGTCTTCCCTGGGAAGGCCCGGTTGTTTTAACGGGGAATGGTGTTCCCGCATTAAGTCTCGAAGGATGGTGATGAGGAAATAAGGTCTCGGGCGAAAACTGCCGGTGTGGTAGGCGGTGTTCCTGACGTGTTTTTTTTACTTCCTTTGCTAGTCTCATTTGTTCACCGCACATTTTTTATTTTTATTTTTTATTGGTGTCCAATTCTTTATTTTATTCCAATAGTCGTCCCACCTGGAAAAGTCGACCTCTAAAGCGAGCGATGCCGGTTGCGGGCTTTAATGCAGATATCGTTGCTTCGAATCGTGGTTAACCAAACAGGCAGGAGGAAAATTCCCAGCACAAAGGTTAAAGGAAACCCGCCAGCTGCTGGTAACGCTTCCTTCGTTTTGACAGAACCGAGAGCAGCGCGAACCAGAACCGAGGACTACTGTGTGTGTTTCTATGATTGGAAGGAAAATCTTTGCTTCTTTTGTCCTAGGGAGGGAGGGGCGAAGAAACGAAAGCCGGGCTTGCCTGATTATCACCCATCCTGTATGGATTTGTGCTCCTTTCCAGCCCGACCCAAGCACACGGCCACACGTCCGTTACAAGTATGCATTGCAGCAAAGCTTGAGCAAAAAGGGTCGAAGGCACATATTCTACATGGTACGTGCTGATACAACATGTACCCATAGAGTTCTCTCCTGTTGAGGGAGATGTTGAAAGTATCCAGACTGGTACCTGGTCTACTTTACCTAGC